ATCCGGGTAATGAAAGGTGGGGCTCTATTTAATAACAATAGACCGGTCAGGTGTACCGTCTGCACGGTGAAGTCAATATTTTTGATAACTGAAAGTAAAATGCACCCTTTAACATTCCCCCCGTTATTTAATGACAATCAAATGTGAACCATGAATTATTTATTATTTTAGTTTTAAAAACGCATGTTATTTTTAGAATATGAACCTGGGAATCCAATATAAACCAGATGATGTTTCTCTTATTTTGCTCTCTGGTCTGCTGTCTAACATTTTCACCAGCATCTAAGGCTGTTCTATACATAGTTTATTGTTGAGGTGATTGCAGTGAGTGGGAGAGATCCACATCATGTGTGTGTGTTCTTTGCTTCAACATCTAATGATGAGAGACCATTAGCTTCCTTTCTCAGCTTCAACAACAACAACAACAACAACAAGATTCCATTTATAAAGCGCGTTTCACGTCAGGAGGACATCCCAAGGCGCTGCACAGTTGGGTCATGACCCGAGCAGGGGGGAAATGGTCAGGGTGAGGGGAGGGAAGGGAGGGAGCGAGGAGGGGAAAGAGAGTCGAGAGGGGAGCTGAAGGCTCGGTCAAAGAGAAAGGTTTTGAGACCGGCCTTGAAGGAGGAGAGGGAGGAGGCGGCGAAGGCACTGGGGGATAGAGTTCCAGAGCCTAGGGGCTGAGAGGCTGAAGGCCCGACCACCGACGGTAGGGCGATTGGGTCGGGGGACGTGGAGCAGACCGGAGCCGGAGGAACGGAGGGTACGGGCAGGTAGGTACGGGGATAGTAGGTCGGAGCGGTAGGAGGGAGCAAAGCCGTGAATGGCCTTGTAGGTGAGGATGAGGATCTTGAAATCAAAAAAAAGTAGCTTCAGGGGAAACAGTGCCATCTTTTTAAGTCTCTCCACAAAACTACAAACTATATCCTTTCAATCTTGTGAATCTCCTATTGCTTCTTTAAAATGGCGAGCCAAAAACTACATAGAATGCTCGCAACTATGAACTAACTTTCATCTGATGATTCAGACAATAATAAGCTGTTTCAACCTCTTCCCTCCCTTTTTTTTCAGCTTCAAAATGGCCTGAGTTTTGATATGCTGTTAGACTGGACCGATCATGACAAGATGGATAATGATGAGATTGTTGTAATGCTCCCTAAATTTAAGATGGAGAACACCTACAAGTTCACCTCAACACTTGGTGGTATGGGAATGGTTGATGCTTTTGATGCTTTGAAGGCAAATTTCTCGGGAATGACTGAGAAAAATGAACTGGTTTTGTCAAAAGTTGTTCACAAAACCTTTGTTGAAGTTAATGAAGATGGTACAGAAACAGCAGCTACCACTGCAGTTATTATCCACGATGTGCAATATTACAAAGAGAATTTGTGGCTGACCATCCATTCCTGTTTTTCATCAGGCACAACAAAACTCGCAACATCCTGTTCTTTGGGAAGATTCTTCCTCTCCGTAAAACAATGCAAAAAGCCACTAACACAAGCATTAGTTAATAGCTTCACTCACTCACTTCTTGGGGGAAAGTAATCTGATCATTAATATCAGACTGTGGCTATGTCATCAGGTTTCACTGAAGGATGCTAAACCTTGGTCAGGATTGTGTAAACCAAAGATTTAAATGTTCTGCTATGCATTCATTTTTTACGTGTCTTTGTACAATTTTAACCATTGTCAAAATAATACTAACCTGCATTTTTATAAGAACCTTGTAAGTCCTATCAGTAATTTAACTTGTTATCTTACATACTGTATAACAGTACATTGAAGTTGAAATAAAATGATTTGCTTTCGACTCCAATTTTGGCTCCGTTTGTTTTCTTTCGCAAATGATTTTTTAGGTCAACAGCAAGAAGGGATTATTTAAGACATCTTGATATTTGTGAATTTGAAACACTGCCTACAATAAACATACGGTTAAGTTGCACTTGTTTTCCTAGTGGGAATTCTAACAATACTTGGATAAAGCAGCAAACAAATTTTTCTGTCTGTGGAGTGCAATCCCTCTTTTTTTAAACTACAATGGAATCCACTTTAGCCAGACTCGGTTAACCCTGGACGCCAGGTAAATCGGATAAAGTTCCCTTCCCCTATGTGTCCAGCTAAAGTGGATGTCACTGTATGTGCCTTGAGCCAAAACCTAACCCAGAAGGGAACATTGCTGAAGGAGTGGATGACATTTTACATTCCACACCATTCAGCTTGTCATCTCGTGGCAATTTTGTGCTATGGAGCATGTGCCCACTAGGAATTACATTGAAACTGTTCAAATTCTATATGACCCTTACAGCCAATGGAGAAGACTCTAATGCTGTGAATTGAGCTGGATTGGAACTTGGGTCAAGCTGACTGCTTCATATTTCTTTTTCTTGTGATTCCCAGCGAAGAACACAACCCAGAGGTCAATTGGAGGGTTACCACTGAACCCTTGATAAGATCATATACTTCAGTGCAATACAATGACTGTGTCTTTGTCTGTGTAGCTCAGATCACCCCTATACCACGTACGTACTCATTCTGGCTCTGGCCCTTAGAGTTTTGCATGCTGGACAAAATCATTATCATTGAGATTGGCATCAGTACATATAAAATAACATTGGAGATCAGTGCCTCCTATTGAGACATTAGGTTTAAGAATCTTTATGCAAATACATAAGAGTATTTATGAGCATTGTGTTTTATGAATCAGGCTACAAGTTCAGGATATTATTTATTATTTGTAGTGTGTGAAGAACCTTTGAGTGTATGTGGTTTATTATTTTCTGTCATATTTGGTAGAGATGAGCATTACTGGGGAGAAACCCATCTCACTTCTTTTAAGTTGTGTATCTTGAAGTTTGGTACTAGAGTTGGGTTTCCACACACAGTGATGAGGCAACATTCATGTTGAATCATGTGGGCACATCTTCCACATGCAAATTGTCTCTTCTGTAACATTTGTTTTCACAAGCAATCAATAACAATAGAAGGGTTGGCAGTAATTCAATGGGTTTTGCCAATACACCGATAATTATTCTTTCAAGAACTGTCAAAAACCCAAAACCAAGTGGACAACTGAGTCACAAATGAATAAATTAATGCAAAATCTTGAAGGTTTATTTAGCATATACAATGCACTTCTTATTATCCAAGTTATTGTGCAATGTTTGACGGTTGTTTACAGGCAGGTTTGAACAAAGTCAGGTACATTACCCATGAGCTGACTTTGTTTAAAAATTGCCGTTACATCAACAATTAACGAGAAAACTACAGCTGTAATAAACACATTTCTTATTTCTTAACCAATTTAATAGTAATAATAATAATAATAATCCTCACATTTGATATAGCGCTTTTCACATCATCTAGTCGTCTCAAAGCGCTTCACAGAATATGCTATAAAGTGAATTGACTGTATATTTATGGTCAAAACGCAGCAGCCAATGGTGCACAGCAGTCTCCCCACAAACAGTCGTGGATTGAAGTGACTAATTTCTTTTCTTCTTTTTTCTTGAGGGATTATTATCAGTCATGTGGAGCAAGGTAACTTGTCCAAGGTTTCGCTGTTCTGGAAATCGAACCCAGATCTCTCGCTTGAGAGGTGTGTGCCTTATCTAAATCCCTTATAACACTAAATAATAGTTACACAAAAACAACAACAGCAAAAGAACATTTGTATAGCGCCATTTTACTTCAGGAGGACAGCCTAAGGTGCTGGACAGACAGAGTTTTGGACCCAAGCTCAAAGACAGGATCGAGGAGTGTGGAGGGCAAGGGTAAGTGGATTGAATGAAATTATGGTCGAAGAGGAGGGTCTTGAGATGGGTTTTGAAGGAGGCAATGGAGGGAGTGATGCGGAGGGACTGCTGGATGTAATTCTACAGGGTGGGAGCAGAGTAGCAGAAGGCCCGTCCTCCAATAGTGGGGTGAAGGAGGCAGGGGGTATGAAGCAAGCCGGAGCCCACTGAGCGAAGGGAGCGAGCAGGATGTTAGGCAGTTAGGAGATAGCAGAGGTAGGGTGAAGCAAGACTATGGAAGGCTTTGAAGGTGAGGACCAGGATCTTAAACTGTATCCTCTGTGTGATGGGAAGTCAGTGGAGTCGGGCAGAGCCTGCTGTAGGAGAGGACACGTACTGCAAAGTTCTGGATGATCTATAGTCTATTGAAGAAGGAATTGGAGAGGCTGACAAGCAAGAAGTTTGCATAGTCAAACCTCGATGTAATGAAAGCATGTATGAGGTTTTCGGCGGCCTGCGGAGTGAGACAGTGGCAGAGCCAGGAGATGTTTCAGAGGTGAGGGAAGGTAGAATCAGTTATGGCATAGATGTAGGGTAGAAAGGATCGTTGAGATTCAAACTAGACCCCAAGGTTCTGGACTGGCTTAGAAACGTGGAGTGTGTAAATATGGATGGTGATGCTGTCAGCGCCTGAGGTGCCAATCAGGAGAGCCTCAGTCTTGTTGACATTCAACTGAAGAAAGTTAGCTCTCATCTCGGACTTGATGTCTGACAGACATTCTGTCAGGACAGCATTAGTCCTGGAGTCAAGGGTGGAGGCATAGAGGTAGAGTTGGGTGTCATCCACATGTGGAAGTTGACCCCATGTCTGCGGATGTTGTCACCAAGAGGGAGCATATAGATATTGAAGAGGAGGCCTTCATGGACAGAGCCCTGAGAAACGCCACACGAGACGGTGCAAGTTCTGAAGGAGAAACCATTTGTGGCGATGAAGTGGAGGCGGTGTGAGAGGTACGATCTGAACCAGTCAAGCACAGAGCCATGAAGGTTGAGATGAGAGGAGAGGCGGTAGATGAGGATAGAATGGTCTCACAACATGGTTCTGAGGGCACTAGCAGCTCATAAACATGAAGTCACTTATAATAACAAGCAGATAACACACCTCTTTATAGTGTGAGTTGGTATTTATGGATCTGGACAACTGTGTTATAATGGGGCTCCACTATACTGTTAAATGGGAATCCGTCCAAAGGAGATACTGTTTGGGATATTTAATTACACTAACATAATGAGTTCAACCCAACTAATCCTGTATTCAATAAGTTGAACTCAAGTAAACACCAAATTATTGTAATTTTACAGTTATATTTATGATGGTTCTGTTGACAACTGTGCTAAATATAAATCCACCAGAAATAGTTCAAATAATTCATTTTAAATTGTGGCCATTCCTCAGTATTTCTAAGTTGAGTCAAAACGACAATAATTTGCATTGCGGATTTACATTGGGAAAATGTCTCAAATCGCTTTACAAAGACTGAACGGAAGCCCGAGCTGGGAGGGAAATGGGTGGGGGAGGGAAAGAGAAGGTGGCCCAAAGCACAGTCAAAGGGATGAGTTTTTAGACGGGCTCTGAAGCAGAGAGAGGGGGCAGGTACCCGGGGTGGGGAGAGGGAAAGAGGAAAGTAACTGAAAGCTGATGATGGTAAGAGGTGGGTGGGAGTGGGGGGGGTGGCATCAAACATGCCAAACTTGATGAAACTAAGGGAGTGGCTGTGGAAGTAGGGTCACAGGAGATCTCAGAGGTAGGTGAGTAAGACTGTAAGGTGAGGATGAGGACAAGAAGTCATTCCACTGGGGGATAGGAAGCCAGTGGATCAGACGATGAGGGGGCTAATGGGTCTGCAGAGTCTAATATGGGTGAGGATGTAGGCTGCAGAGTTCTTGATATTTTGGGGGCACCTTGGGATGGCTGACGACATGAAAGGCACGATATAAATGCAATTTGATGGTTGTTTTGGAACTTATGTAGGGTGGAACTGGGGAGGCAGGTCATTGGAAAAGTCAAATCTGATTGGGACAAAGGCTGCATGAGGGTTTCAGCTATGTTGAGGGTGAGATAGTAATGTTGTAAGAGATGGAGGAAAGTGGCTTTGTTCAGTGCCCTGTTTGAAGGAGAGTTGAAAGTACGGGCTCTCTAAGTCGGAGTGAGCAATTGAATGGCATCTGATCCATACAGTTATGTTCTCCTGCCAATTGGCGGCTATGTCCTTTTAACTCAGGTGGTTTACATGCAACAATTGCAGAAATAAATTAGGCATAACAGTACTGCTCTGAATCTAAATCCCAGTGAATATATACTAATCAAGTACTGGGGTGCATTTCAGGGTTATTTGATCTACATTGAAACAAGATTACCTGTAAGACAGACCTAGAGTAATATGTGCAGTTATAATCATTTAACCTTAGAATCATGCAAAAGCCGTTGAAATGGGACAGAGGTGAGCAACTATGATGTTTTAGATGTCAAATTTAATTACAAGCAAATATTAAGAAAATTGGATTTGGAAAAAAGCATCCTATAAAGTGTCCT